CTCTCAGAAATGAACTTTCTACTATATATATATATATATATATATATATATATATATATATATATATATATATATATATATATATATATATATATATTAGTTACTTCTATCAACAAATTTTAAAAAATTTTCAATTTGATTTCACCGCGATATCGATGATGATGATTGTGATCTGACTGATTAAAAAGCATCAATGAAAATTTTTAAAATAGGATGGAGAATTTGTTATATTGGGATGTTCGTATATAAAGCGAGCAAAATTTTAATATAAAAGCGTTTATAAATCTACGCATATCGGCTCAGCTTGGCTTGGCTCGGCTTGGAATCGGATGTTAAGCTAGGTGTGGTCTCAAACTATTTGGAATTCTCCCCGAAAAAATTGAACTACGTTTATATGAAAAGCAATATAGCAGATTCAACCAGCCAATCAGAAAGTTTCGAAGGCGTTCGTTCGATGACGTCAATTTAGTACGGTTAGCATTGTGGTTAAGACTGCTTAATAGTCTAGTACATTGAATAAGTTTTTTACTGATGTGAATGATTGAAATTTTTTTATTTTTATTTTTTAAAAATCATGATCTGACAGACGCAGAAACTGTAACAACATGCAAGGCAGTCTAGTTATGTGCATGATAGCATTTGAATTTAAGGATTTTGTAAATTAAACAGTAATAAGATGTCTTTCTTTGGCTTTAAACTTATCAAACAATAATTAATAATCTTTTAAAATTTTATTTGTTAAATAGTCAATAAATTATCAGAAATCTTTCAATAACTCCGTTTTTTAACTTGGGAAACGAGTTTTTTTGTGAGAACCAGAGACAATGATTTTAAAATAACCACAGAACCATATACTAAAATATAAAGAAATATATTATCGTCATGTAAACATACTAGCTCACTTTTAAACTCACAAAAAAACATTGCGATGGCCGTGAGAATGATGAAATTTTTAAATAGTGTCCCCAATTTAACTCAAAACGTCATCAAAATCCGTTCATCCTTTGTCGAGTTACGTAATTCGAGTAAATTTGTTGAAAAAAGCTCTTCAAATTTACTGCGAAATGTATCGCGAAGGAGTTTTTCTAGTCACGCATTTCTTTCAACGAGGAATACTCGTAGAATTGTAAGCATCCCGCAGAACACGGCTTACATTTTTCAATCAGGTGACCATCTAAATAGACGTCTGCCTAATTTTCGCTTCCTTTCATCTAAAAATCCGGACGATCAATCATCTTCGTCGTCCTCCTCGTCTTCAAATACCAGCAGTACTAGTAGTGGTAGCAGCAACGACGGCGACGGTGGCGACGATCAACATGGGCAAAACGTCGACTACGGCCCTCATATGACGGCTTTGTCCCCGATGACAGTTCCGGAGGAATGGCCCCAAGTGCCGGTTATTGCCGTCAGGAGGACCCCACTCTTTCCCAGATTTATAAAATTGATTGAGGTGCTTTGTGATGATGACAATGACCTTGTTTTTAATTATTGTTATCATAAATTATAGATTATTATTATTATAGTTTGTATTATCGCTATATATCATCATCATCACAATCATTATCATCGTTGTCGTCGTCATCACTCAGACAACAGACAAAACACTAATTGAACTTTTGAGGAGAAAGGTAAGACTGAACCAACCATATGCTGGTGTGTTTCTAAAGAAAGATGATGAGTAAGTGAGAGAGGAGAGAGAGAGAGAGTGTGTGGATGATGATGGTGATAATGATGATATTATCAATTTTCACTGATTCCTAATATTTTCACACAAGTAAATCAAATGAGAATTATTGACACAGGAATAAAATTAAGTTGGTGACTAAAAACCACAACAGAAGCAGCACATCCCTATTATTCACTAATCCCAAATTTACCTGACACAGAAATGAATCAGAAGTAGTGACCAACTTGGACGACGTTTACTCTGTGGGGACGTTTGTTCAGATACATGAGATGCAAGACCTCGGAGATAAACTGAGGATGATCGTCATGGGTCATCGAAGGTTACTGATGATGATTATTATCCTAGTTATATAGTTATATTATTATTATAATTATTTTATTATAGGATAAAAATTACGAGTTTGCTGCCAGAAACAGATGATTATCTACCTCCGAAAGCTGAAGGTCATTTTATTAACTTATTCACTCACTCATTCACTCACTCATTCATTCGTTTGTTCGTTCATTCTATTCATTCGTTTGTTCGTTCATTTTATTCATTCATTCATTTAATTTTTCGTTCATTCACTCTTAAAAATCATCATCCTGAGTATTTTACT